TTTTTGACACTTCTGTGTCACTTAATATCATGCTAAAATAAAAATTTAAGTAACTTTAAAATAATAAATTACAAATAATGCATTTTCCCACGACACTTATCGAGGGACGCAAATCTCCCCTGTCACACTTGACACCCTTTGTCTCTGCACACCTACCTGCATAGCGTCTTTGTCGAGGCTGTCACATGCCCTATTAATATCACTACAAAACCGGGCCATCGTCAGTGTCCACACACCCTTTTCTTTCAGTTTTCCCCACAGGGTCCGTAGCATTCTCTGTTCCACTCCTCAAACTTGCTTAAGTGTCACAAAAAACGGTCCGGCCCATTTCGTGTAACACCCCCAACCTTTTCTTCATGTAATGTCCCACAAAAACAGCACCGATGACCCCCGGCCCCTTTGCCAGCGAGGGGGTGAGTCCGCAGACATCCCGGAAAAGTCTTAAATACTCTCTAAGGCCCGGGTAGAAGTAAAAACCCGAAGATGGCGGGTGAGTACAATTACTCCCTTCAAGACCGTTGACACCCCGCAAGGGGGGTCCCGATGCGCAACACATGTTGAGCTCACTAAATGCGGCCGTCAAATAACTGGGGCCAAACAGACTCAGTGAGCGCGGTGAGCGCTTCTTCTAAACAGTAGAACCCAAAACAATCTCTCTACTGCCAGTAATGTGTACCTTTAATGTTCAGGTACCTATGCTTAGATGTGTAGGGTTTAGGTGTTCAGGTATTAATTTTCAAAAAGCCAGAGATGTGTAGATTAGGGGGTTTAGGTACCAACTGCTTAATGCGTACCGTGGGGTTTTCGGGCATTTAATGCTTCAAAAGCCATCATGGTACCATTGGTTTTTTTCAGGTACCTACGTTTAGATGTTCCCGGGGGTGTTTTGCGGCCCCTGCCAAACTTCGGTTAAAAGTTACCTCCCGGGCCGGCATACCACTGGGGGCGTCATAAAACCCCCAATGTGGGGGCTGCGAGCCGGCCTTAAGCAGAAAAGACCCCTGAGTGCCTCACGGTACACCCCCTAAGCAGAGGTACCTGACCCCCGAAGGGACAGTCTACTGGCTTTGTAACAGTATGTACCAGAGCGCCTCGCTGCCC